ACAAAAGGGACTGAGAAGAGTTTACAGTCTCCAAAGAGAAAGGACTAAAATCAATGACCTCTGCTTCTACCTTAAGAAACTAGGATGAGAAGAGCAAATTAAACTCAAAGTAAGCAGAAGAAAGCAAGCTTTACTGATGAAAGCATCAATCAATAAAATGGAAAACGGTCAAACAACAGAGAAAAACCAATGAAACCAAAAGCTGATTCTTTGAAAAGTTCCCTTTAGCTAGAATGGCCATGAATAAGAAACCATTAGCTAGAAGGGTTTTGAATGAGTCAAAAATCACTGCTGTCAGAAACGGAAGAAAAGTCTAGGTGTCGTGGCTCATGCCTGTAATCCCAGCACTTCAGGAGGCCAAGGCAGGAGGATCACTTGAACTGAGGAGTTAGAGACCAGCTTGGGCAACACATTGAGACCCTGTCTCTAAAAAAAATTTAAAAATTAGCTGGGTGTGGTGGTGTGCACCTGTAGTCCCAGCTACTTCCAAAGCTGAGGTGGGAGGATTGCTTGAGCCCAGGAGTTGGAGGCTACCGTGAGCCGTGATCAGGTCATTGCATTCTAGTCTGGACAGAGTGAGACTCTGTCTTAAAAAAAAAAACAGGAGCGGTGGCTCACGCTTGTAATCCCAACACTTTGGGAGGCTGAGGCAGGAGGATCCCTTGAACCCAGGAGTTCAAGGCCAGCCTGAGCAACATAGGCAGACCCTATCTCTTATAAATAATTAAGAAAGAAAAAAAAATGGAAGAAGGGCCAGCACTGTAGCTCACCCAGACATCAGAGGATCCTGAAAAATAATGGCAGTCCTCGGTCCTCCCCTAATTGCCTTGACAGGGGTCAGTAAATCTGGCGCCCTGCCCACACGGGAGCGGCGCAGACAGTGTTCAGGGTGTACTGTACATCTCCAGATTCAAGATGTTTGCTGAAGCTCGCTTTGTTTATTTTCTAAACCATGGTGTGGACCCGGGCACGCCTGGGGTTCCTCGCGTGCACTCATAACCGAGAATCAGCAGCGGGAGCGCCCGGCACGTACCTTATAGGCGATGCTGTTGAGCACTTTCATGGCCACGTCTGAGACCTCTGGATAGGGGTCAGCAGCCAGGTGCAGCAGGACTCTCCAAATCTGAGTGTAAACGCTATTAAAAGAAACTCCTAAGAGAGAAATGGGAGAGGTTTTAGTAGACAGTAGCTGCCAATGAGGCTCCTAAGGCAGCTGCATTTTCTGAAACCCTAACCCTGGTATCGGAAGCATTGCTTTAAAGAATGGAGGTTACAGGAAGCCCCCATGTTGTTATTCTGGCAATAGGTCCTGAGAGTCAAGAATCCTAGCTGATCACGAGGCTTGATCACATGGATTCATCTTCTGAGGCTGAATCTTTCTAAAAGGAAAACTGCATTGGAAAGGGTGTAACTTTCCTTGAAATGCCTCAGCAGATCGGAGGGCACGACCACACCCCTGGAGGAGCGCGTCTGATGTCACGTCCTAGATTTTCAGGAGCCTCCTCGGCCCACGGGTAGTGGTGCATGTGGCCTGGACGTCTACACTGCACCAAGTTCAGCACGTGCTGCTGTGCACTGTGACCCAGAGAACGCTTCCCGCCCACCTCCGTGCTGGCCCTGCCCACCTCCGCGCGCCTCCTGCCCACCTCCACGCGCTGGCCCTGTCCACCTCCACGCGCCTCCTTCCCACCTCCGCGCTGGCCCTGCTCTGAGATGCTGGGACTATACGAAAGGTTGATGTGCTGTGACTTCTGTCCCTAAGCCTCTCTCGACTCACCCGACACTTGATACGTGGTCCTGTGTTGTTCGCTCGGATACAAATACAGACAAGGCAGGACCCAGCAGGGACTCAGACTCGTTCATAAATAACAACAGTGAGTGGTGGGCACGGAGGGAAGCGCTGAGGCTTTGTCGGTGCGGCTGCTCGGTCCTATTTAATTCCCCAGCAATCCTACAGGCGGGTATCACCCCCAGCATCACCGAGGAAGGTGAGGCCCAGAGGATGAAGGATGTGAACGCGCACCCATCTGACCTTTGAGCCATGCCACATCCACAACACCGCGCAGCCTCAGAGAGACGCAGGAAGGAGCAAGAGTGACTCCTCCTGTTGGCAGTGGGCTAGGAGGTGAAGGGCGGGAAGGCCCGGCAGAAGAGGCACGAAGGAGTCGGGCTTTGAGGGGAAGCAGGATCATTCTCTGGGCAAAGGAGGGTTGGAGCGAGGGTGGGTAGCACAAACAAGATCTAAGACATTGAACAATAAAACGCAGAGGTGATGGGGACGTGGAGCCTTGGGGTATACTCGACAGAAGCCTGCAGGAGCAAATCAGAGACTGGGGGGTGGGGGCCGTGAGCACTTGGAAACCAGAAGGGAGGGGCAGGCACTGACTGCTGGGCTTCCGGCGCAGTCAGCATTGCTTGAGGCTAGGGAGGAGGCTGATGGAGCAGGCGTCGCGGAACTGGTGTCCATGCCACACTGGACCCAGAGAGGCGGAGAAGGGAAGCAGCAATCCCGGTAGAGGCAGCAGGTCCAGCAAGGGTTGGGCTGAGGACCAGAGGCACTGAGTGTGGAGGGCAGAGCGGGGCCAGGTGGTGCCTCCCCTGCCTGCGGGCACCAGGAGTGCCAGTTTCCTGCCAGGCTTTGCCCCGGAGGCTGAGGCAGGCAGGGCCCTGCCCTTGGCACTGGGAGTTGAAAAGGGGTCCAGCCACCATAGAACTCCATCTTCTTTCTTTTTGGGGAAGCTGGACAATTTGCTGAGAAGCAAGTGCTTGTTCATTAGAGAGTCAAAGGATTTCGAGTGAGGTGTGATTCCAGGCCACCCGACTGTTGGCGAAAGAGCTTAGGCATCGAAAGCCAGTGGAGGAGCTTGTCTCACTGCATGAACATGCTGCGCACGTGGAGTGGGTTCTGCACAGCCCGGTCAAGTCCACGGAGATGCAGGTGGGGTGCGAAAGTCAATGTGTGCGTGGGTTCTGCAGATGCCTGCGGCCACCTATGGCTTCCGTTCAGCGAGCCCGAGACGGGCTCTCCTTCAGCTCCACGTACGGAGGGCCGGTGTCTGCCCCTGCTGCACGCCCCCACCGTGAGTGCAGAGGTCAGGGAAGCCCCATGCCCGCGGCTCCTGAAGAGGCCACCACGAGGAGTGCGTGCTGCAGTGAGTAAACGTCTCCAGGACTGAGCCGTGTGGAATCAAGAGCTCAGCTGCCATCTAGGAGGTCACACTGTGCCGCTGCGCTGCCCGTGCTGGAGTGAATCATGAGAGGCTGGGACCTCTTCTGGGAGCTGACATGTCTCACCCCACAGGGCAAGTTTACAGCCTTCAACCAAAGGAAGCATTCTTCCCAGGGACACGTCCCCCGCAGGTCTTGCCCATGCACATATGCACCTGGCAGGCGGTCCCTGTGCTTGAGCCTCGCACCCAGGAGGTGGCAGTGGGGACGTCTTGGGAGTCTAGGGCCCAAGCACACCTGGACTTCGGTGCCACAGCGCCACGCAGATGCACCTTCTGCTCTACCGTGGTCCTGCACCACGTGCACTGGGACAGAACCGAAGCCTTCCAGCTCAGATCGCACAGCTCTGCAACAGCCGTGTGGATTCACAAGCAAGTCTCAGAAATGTAAAATCGGTCCAGACTCCGTGGGCACACTCCCTAGACTCTTCTCTATCCCAGCGGATGCCGGCTCCTAGGAACTGCTCCATGCAACACAAGGACATCGGCGATGGCTGTGTCCTCAGTTTTTTTAAAGAGTGGGCGGGTGGGCTAGGAGATGTGGCTTTGAATTTGCCCCCGCAACAGGCCCTGGTGAGGAGGAGATGTGGCCTCACTGGAGAAGTTTGCTTCCACCCGGCTCCATGACACCCTCCACCGTGGGTGACAGCATGGCCCCACAAGATGCCTATTGATGACTGTCCGCCTGAGACCCACTCCCCTTGATTATTCTGGGGTCCTGGGATCCCCACAGCTGAGTAAGGCATCGAAGCAGCTCCCCGCGAGGCTCAGCTGCCAGGTGAAGGGGCTGTGAAGGGCAGCTGGCCTTATATGAGAACGCTCCTCACAAGGCCCGGGGGCAGGGAGCAGGCTACTGCGAAGAGGAGGGCACTGGGCACACCCGGAACCCAGGGCTGGCGTGGCAGGAGGCCCCCTGCTCCCGGCTGCCCTGACGGAGTACAAGGAGGGTGCAGGCTGGTGGCTGCTTGAGCATCACCCAGGATGTGGGAGCCACAGACGTGGGCACCGGGGTCTAGGTCAGGGCTCCACAGGACACTCCAGGAAAGGATCTTGGCACTGTGCGGGGCACTGCCGGGGCAGGGGGATGAGATGGATTAGCTGCTCCTGTCACCTAATTTTTAAAAACAGATTTTTATTACGGTTGGCCCTCTACATCCATGGATTCAACCAACCACAGATCGAAAATATTTGAAAACAAAACAAAAAGTAATACACATTAAAAAAAAACACACACACAGAAAAAAAACAACAACAAAAAAAACAAGAGAGCATAACCACTGCTGACACAGTGTGCTGGATTTGGTATTCTGAGGAATCTGGAGACGATTCAAGCACGGTGGGGGATGTGTGTGGGGGACGCAAAGCTGTCACACCTTTCCTAGCAGGACTGCGCATCGTGGGCCCTGGGTCCTTGGGGTCCTGGAGTCCCCCATGCGTACTGAGGGACGACGCTATTGCTGTTGACCTTCGTGCAGATTTCGACTTATATCAAAGTCAAAATACTGTTTGTGACTCAACAGGGGGAAAAAACATCTAATTTTTGCCAGTCTGTTTGCGACAGTGGATTTTATAACTATGTACTAATAAAAAATACGACGCTGTGATCATGGAACTGCTGTCTTTATTTCACGTCTTGCCTTGGTTTGGCCACAGTCTTCTCTCAGGTTCTGTTATATGAACTGTCCTGTTGTAAAATCTGCCGGTCCCCAAAACAGACCGCAGAGACCTTCCCATCGGATTCGAGTCCACCAGGAAGGAGGTGGGGCTGCCCGGGTCCTGCCCTGCAGGGAGTCAGGGACCGGGGGTGTTGAGCTTAGAAAGGGCCCCTGCTGGCACTCACAGAACTCCCTGTAAGCACAGAGAACCTATTTTCATGTCTAGACTAAAAGTAATAAAAGATCATAACGAATGGTTTTAGAAGTTATTTTTCAGCGCAATGGCCACAGCTTTCCAAATAGCAAACAAGGCAGGGAAATTGACTCAGAGCTCCGGCCAGCTGAATCCCAGCAGCTCCAGGTCTGGCGGATCAGCTCAGAGAAGAGGCTCCTGCAGGCGACAGGTGCCAGGCGACAGCTGCCAGGCGCCACCCCAAGGCTGAGGGGTCGGCAGAGCAGGTTGTGCCCTCCGATGTGCTCACTCAGTCTGTGGTGGCCAAGACCCTCTGCCATCCTGGGGAACTAGTGTCTCAGGCCGAAGGCTTCTGCAGCGGCCCCTTTCTTGTGACCCCTTCTGTCCCTGAGTGCCCAAGGGTAACTCCTGTCCCCTCAGGGGCTGCACCCACGACTCGGTGTGGCTGTTACGAGAATCAAGCTGACCAGCTGCTCTGCCCTCCCCTCCTCCTGGGCCGGCCAGAGCTGTGGGCCCTGCAGCTGCCCACAGGGAAAATGCAGCACCTCCCGGGCCGGGTGAGCGGCGCGTCTGCATCGTCTCCTCAGCATGTTCAATACCCCTACGAGACAAACTTAGTAATGGCCTTTAGTTAAGGACTTTTGCCCAAAAACATAATCCTGAAGCACTGGAAAACTGTTGTTCATTTTCTCACCACTGTCTTCTGACGAGAGTAAATCCGATTTCCGGGTTGTGAAGCCTTCCTTCCGAACCCGCACAGTTCCTTTGGCAACAACCCTGCTTAGCTTTCTTTTGGTTGAGCAAGCACCAGGCTTTTCTTCTGCAAAGGCAGAAACCAGTACCTTCTCTACCCTGAAACCCAGGCCTCGAGGCCTGGCCAGAACTCACTAGTGGGGGTCTCTGGAGCTGCACTCAGGGCTCGTAACGAGCCCTGGAAAAAAGGAAGGAAACTAGCTCTAGGTACTCAAGAAGGTGAGGTGGGAAGATTGCTTGAGCCCAGAAGTTCGAGGCCAGCCTGGGCAACATAGTGAGACCCTGTCTAAGAAACATTAAAAAAATAAATGAAGGGAGAAGCAA